ACGAACGCCGTGGCCGGGTACACACCCCGCGGGACCTTGGCATTGTCGCGAGCTGCAAAAGTCCTCAAGTAACATGCTGCCGCGCGACACGTTTGGTGTGGCCTGAAATGCTATCTGTGATGCTGTGCGTGGCAGAGAAACCTGACGAGTGCTCGAGGACGTGTTTTCAACGAGAATGGAAAAGGGGCCAGGTCAGCTGCTGGGGCAAATCGGCGAACTTTCTTTTTCTGGGCCCATGTTGGTCTGGTCGCGTGAAACGCGTTTGCAAGCCAGAGTCGTAACACATCCGCGTCCGGGTCAAGCATTTCGGGCAATCCTCGCCCAGCACAAGCCTTGGGATGCAGGTTATCAAGCCCGACAAATGTCAGCAGTTCGTGAGGGAGTGGTCACCAATGCCTTGGAAGAGACTCTGCTCCATGAGTCGGGGCCCTGTCCGCAACAAAGATGATGGCGGGGGTTGACTGAGGGACCCACTTCTGATAAGATTGGGGGATGGGTTTTGCTCCAACGCGATGGAACGCGCCTTCCTCCCCTGCTGCCCGCGTCTTTCGCGTTGTCTTAAAGAGGTGTGGGTCTCTGACCAGACAACTCCTACATTGTCATCTCAAGTTTGTTGCTTTGCTTCTTCTGCATTTTACGTGTACTTGCACTTGCTGTTGACTGCATTCGGGCGCAAAATGGGCGAAAAATCCGCAACTGCTCGCACCCCAGCGAGACCTGCGCCCGCGTCTAAGAAATCCGGGACTGTCTCGACGGGCAAGCAACAGAGCATCTTGGGCTTCTTCTCCAAGGCTTCTGCCTCCAGCGCCAATGGACCGGCATCCTCTCCTTTGGCGAAGGCCTCTTCGTCGGCCAAGCAAGATTTGGCTGCGCGCCCCCTGAAGGAGAGCACCAAATCCAACTCGATGCTCGGCTCGAAACGTGCCCCGATCACCACGCCCGTCCCTAGTAGCGACGCCGTTGAGCCGTCAAGCTCGCAGGAGAATATGGATGCTAGCACAGTCAAGGCAGTGAGTGGCCATGCCCACCCAGAAAACGTGCCCCTGCTGAATCTTTGTAGAAGAAGGTTATCGAGACATCGGCCATCGCCGGCAGCAGTCCATCTCGCAAGGTATGCCAAACCAAGTTTCCGCTGCCAGTTTCCTCCCTCTAACAACCCCCTCAGGCAAAGAAGACTGTTAGCTACGCCGAGTCATCCGATGACGACGAAGATCCGTTCGAGTCCCTGCGATCCCAACGAACCAGGAAACGGGCCCCTCGCCGTGCGGTCCCGGATGACGATGACGACGACGCTTACGAGGGGGAGCAAAACGTTGTGGAGGAGGAAGATGATGGTACGAATAACAGAGATGCGCTGTGGCTAGAATACACTGACCGTTGGAAGACATGGCAGATTTTGTGGTATCAGACGAGTCGGATGCCCCGTCGAAGAAAAGGAAACGTCCTGCGGCCAAGTCGACAGCACCGCGCAAGCGTTCAGCGATGCTATCGTCGCCGCCACCTGCCGCACTCCCGGCCCCGGAAGACGAGGACGATGTGATGGATGATGTTCCGTCTACGTCCACTGCGCAAAAGTGGAAGTACGATCCCAACGACATCCAACCTCGAGACCCATCATCGGCCGCCCCGAAGCCGAAGAAGGCCTCCCCTCCGAAGGGCAAGGTCAAGGCGCACACAAAAGAACCTGAGGGCAGACATCCTTGGTTGGCAAACATCTTGGACGGGAACAAGAACCCCCCTGGTCATCCCGATTTTGATCCGACCTCGATCTACGTGCCCCCTCACGCCTTCAACAAGTTCTCTCCGTTCGAGAAGCAATACTGGGAGATCAAGAAGAACCTCTGGGATACGGTGGTTTTCTTCAAGAAAGGGAAGTTCTACGAGCTGTACGAGAACGACGCTACCATTGGGCACCAGCTGTTCGACCTGAAGATGACAGACCGTGTCAACATGCGTATGGTCGGCGTGCCGGAGAGTTCACTGGACATCTGGGTCAACCAATTCGTTGCCAAAGGCTTCAAGGTTGCTCGGGTTGACCAGATGGAGTCTGCCCTGGGCAAAGAAATGAGGGAGCGGGACGCCAAGGCAAAGAAGGCGGACAAGATCATCCGACGAGAGCTGGCTTGCATTCTGACTGGCGGCACACTCGTGGACGGGAGCATGCTTCAAGACGACATGGCGACATATTGCGCGGCGATCAAGGAGGGCGTGGTGGACGGCAAGCCCGCGTTTGGTATTGCCTTTGTGGATGCCGCCACCGGCCAGTTCTTCATCTCTGAGTTTGTCGACGACGTGGATCTCACTAGATTTGAGACATTCGTTGCACAAACAGCGCCCCGGGAACTCCTCTTGGAGAAATCGCACCTCTCCACTAAGGCGCTCCGCATCCTCAAGAACAACACTTCCCCTACCACTATTTGGAACTACTTGAAGCCGGCCACCGAGTTTTGGGATGCCGAGCACACAAGACGCGAGCTCGACTGCAGCGGCTACTTCCTTTCGGAGGGCGAAAAGGAAGAGGTTTGGCCCAAGGTTCTCGCAGAGGCCAAGGACAAGGATCTGTTGATCTCTGCCCTCGGCGCATTGACACAATACTTGCGAGTCCTGAAGCTGGAGAAGAATTTGCTGTCTCAGGGCAACTTTGAGTGGTACAATCCCATCCACAAGAACGGTACTCTCATTCTCGACGGCCAGTCGCTCATTAACCTGGAGGTGTTCACCAACACCGCCAACGGAGGGTCTGAAGGCACGCTCTTCAGCCTGCTTAACCGGTGTATTACGCCGTTTGGCAAACGACTCTTCCGCAAATGGGTGTGCCATCCTCTTTGCAACATCCAGAAGATCAACGAGAGACTGGACGCTGTCGATATGCTGAACGCCGACCGGAGCATTCGCGAGCAGTTCTCCTCGCAGATGACCAAGATGCCTGATCTTGAGCGGTTGATCTCCCGCATCCACGCCGGCGCTTGCAGACCGGAGGACTTTGTGCGGGTGCTCGAGGGCTTTGAGCAAATCGACTACACCATGGGCCTTCTCAGCGCCTTTGGTGGCGGCAACGGTCTTGTCGACAGACTTCTCGCGGCCATGCCAAACTTGAAGGATCCTTTGGGTTTCTGGGAGACGGCATTCGACAGGAAGCGGGCGAAAGAAGACAAGATCCTCATTCCCGAAAGGGGGATCGAGGAAGAGTTCGACAGCAGCCAAGACAAGATCGACCGCATCAAGTCTGAGCTGGACTCGTTGCTCGACGAGCAAAAGGCTGCGCTGAAGTGCAAAACCCTCAAGTTCACAGACGTGGGCAAGGAGATCTACCAGATCGAGGCACCAAAGTCTGTCAAGGTACCCAAGACCTGGCGTCAAATGTCTGCGACATCGGCGGTGAAACGGTATTACTTCAAGGACCTCGACGATCTCGTGCGGGAGCTGCAAGAGGCCGAGGAAACACACTCTCAGATTCTGAAGGACGTCGCACTGAGGTTTTTTGAGCGGTTTGATGTCGATTACGAGGTGTGGTTGCAAGCAATCCAGATCATCTCCCAGCTGGACTGCCTCATCAGCCTCGCGAAAGCTTCCGCCTCGCTCGGCCACCCCAGTTGCCGGCCGCAGTTTGTGGACGACGAGAGGAGCGTCGTGGAGTTTAAGGAGCTCCGCCACCCCTGCATGATCAACTCGGTTGACGACTTCATCCCCAACGACATCAAGCTGGGTGGTGATGAGGCCAAGATCAACCTTCTCACTGGCGCCAACGCTGCCGGCAAGTCGACAATTCTACGAATGTCCTGTATTGCGGTCATCATGGCCCAGATCGGTTGCTATGTGCCCGCCGTTTCTGCCCGCCTGACACCGGTTGACCGCATCATGTCGCGCCTTGGCGCTAACGACAACATCTTCGCGGCACAGAGCACGTTTTTTGTCGAACTGTCGGAGACGAAGAAGATTCTTTCGGAGGCTACACCGCGTTCACTTGTCATCCTGGACGAGCTCGGCCGCGGCACGTCGTCGTACGACGGCGTTGCTGTTGCCCAAGCCGTCTTGCACCATGTAGCGTCCCACATTGGCTGCATTGGCTTTTTCGCGACGCACTATCACAGTCTGGCCACGGAGTTTGAGAACCATCCGGAGATCCGCGCCCGACGTATGCAAATTCACGTAGACGATGAGAACCGCCGAATTACCTTTTTGTACAAGCTCGAGGACGGCGTCGCGGAGGGCTCGTTCGGTATGCATTGCGCGGCTATGTGCGGCATCCCGAACAAGGTGATTGAGCGTGCTGAAGAGGCAGCGAAGGCGTGGGAGCACACCAGCCGTTTGAAGGAGAGTCTGGAGAAGGCAAAGACTGGTTGCTACATACCGCTGGGAGTGCTGAGTGATGTCGCCAGTCTGTTGCGGGAAAATGAGGGGGGGCAACGGGAGATTGACCAGCGTGGTGTTGAAGTTTTGCTGAAGGCTATTGAGGCACTCTGATGGGGCTGGCGGGTGTAATTGGGCTGCTTTGCGGCCGATTGGAATGTTGACGGGCATATCATGCTGTGGGTCTGGGAATCTAGAGGGCATCGTGTTACTTCATATCGGGGAGAGTCTGGCGTTGGGGCCTGGCTTGGCGTTGGGATTGATGTCGGGATACCGGCAGTAATGTGTATACAGAAGGAACAGAAGTATAACAGGAATCCAGGTCATTGCATTGTGTTCATAACTTCTACACTACTTTTTCTTTCTTTGCGTTCTCAGTCTTTTGTATGGGGACCCGAGAAATGAGTCGGGGCGCAGTTGACATCGGACCGGCTCCGGGAGCCCGACCGGTCCACAATCGGGTTGGAGGACTAGGACTCGGACCGAAGATCAGCCCGGTCAGGACCAGGCTAGAAGAACTTGAACCGGGAAGCCATCGTTACAGAGCCATCAAAAGACAGCCGCCCACAGAGGAAGAGTAGGCAAGTCGTCGGCGTGCCCGGCATGCCGGGGATGCATATGGCGGATTTACCAATGACTCTAACATCCAAGGTCCGCTGGCTCAATGGCAGAGCGTCTGACTACGAAATTCGATCTTCTCCGGCTGAATTAGTTATCAGGAGGTTCCAGGTTCGACCCCTGGGTGGATCGAGCAATATATTTTTGACTCCATCTCCAAAAAAAACTCTGGAGTACCCCCTTTTTGCTCCGCTGGTTAGATAGCAAGGTGAGGACACCCAGTATCATGGGTTTTGCTTGCGCTCAGCACCGATGCACGACTTGCTTGAGCTGCTAAACACTTTTTGCTCCTGCTGATCTTATGCCGTATCTCTTGCATGTCCATGTGCTAGGATATCGAACGATTGCAAAAAGGACATGCCCGCATAGCGTTCTGCATCGCCTGTTAGAATTCTTGCCAAGCAAAAACTCAAGGGCAGTTCCGTTCAGCTTTCCCATCCACATCCTCATTTGGAAGGCAAGATTTCTCGATCGCCGATGGGAAAGATAGCAAAAATGAAGGACCGATCGTGAGTTGAACACGAGACCTACCGGAAAGCGCGCTGGGCACTGCAGCCGGTTGCTCTACCACTGAGCTACCGGTCCTTTGTTTTAGGCGGATTGCCTTGAGTTGAGAGAACGGGGTCGAACTAGAGCTTAAATGCTTGGTGTGCATGATGTTTGTGGAGTGGGTGGGACTTGGAGGCGCTGTCGGTCCACTTCAGGGGCAACAAGCTTCAGGGGCTGGTCAAGTGGAGACTGCAGTTTGTTGCTGGCAAGGGACTCTCCTGGGCCAGATGAGCTCCTCTTGTATACACCCAAGTTCCGTAATGCGATCATGCCATTGAATTTGCCTTGAAAATGGCCCTGATGTCGTTTGCGATAGAAACCGACTCCAGAGACCCAAACTCGCCGCCGACGATATCGGCCCGATGCTATTAGTGGGCCGCTATTAGTGATGGTTCAATTACCCAACTCTTGACTGTTTGTGTAAGCCCCCTGATCTTAGGATGTGAAGCCCCGACGCTGCTTTCAGCATCCTTATTAATTTCTATTGTCACACCCTTTCCGATACAGGGTCAGATGCTCTCGATCGAAGCTGTTTCCGAGTCGTCCTCAAAACCAACCAGGATGGCCCTCCTCCATCCAGAGTACCTATCAGCGAGGTTGGCAAGGTCCTAGCCCTCGGCGTTCTCGCCAACGGTATGTTTACCCCGTTGGATTTGCCATTCACTCCATCGCCAGCACCAGACTGCTCGGATCGCGACTCTCGGCCAGCGACGCTGTTGTCCAAAATACGCTGTCGTTTCTTGATGATATCTCTTCTCCTCTTGTTTCCCGAAGTGATAACGCCGAGTAAGGGATCAACAATGTGCGTTCTCCAGAAAGCTATCAGCCCAAGCTGTTCTGCCGCGAGGGTGAGGGGGAGCAGGAATATGGACAGGATGGTCCGAGCTGTCTCGCTGAAGGCGAGAGAGATGGCCAGGAAGACAACGATAGCCGATATTCCGACTATGTTCGGCACTCGTCAGTCACATTACCGTGTTCTAGCGAATGCTGTACTTACACATATAATTGACCTGATCGTTCAATGTCATCCAGTTGTTCTCGGTTGAGACACTGTTGTTCATTCCGAAGAAAGCGGCAAGAAATCCCAGCGGCAGCTGAGCAGGCACCATGGTGCAACATTGGTTAGCAAAACCCGACTTGTTTACCTGTTAAGATTGTGACATGACTTACAAAGAAGATTGTCACGACAGTGAAGGCGATGATGGACCTCCCCTGCTTGATATTCTCATCTGCACGGATTTTGGACACTTTAGCTTCCAAGATACTGGTCTCTTGCTGCTTCAGCGACAGCAAGCCTTCAAGCTGCATGGGAGTTAGCATGGGATGCCTAAAGATCAAGAGTTACCCATCATACCTGCTTGCATGTTCTCGACGCCGTTTCTTCCAGCTCCTGCAACTCAAGCCGCCGACTCTCAACAAGTTCGAGGACCATATCGGCCTCATGCGTTGGAATGGTTGTCGCCCCGGGCGCGCCCTTGCCAGCCTTGGCAGTATCGATGTCAGAAAATGGCGACATGGAAGTGTCCAAATGCCAGCTGAGAAGCCTGTCCAACTTTTGAATGACCTCAAACCCAATCATGGCCTGCTCTGAAACAGCATTAACATCGGTGACTTCCGGACCAGAAGATTCGCGCTGGGCTTTCTCAGCTGCCAGCCACTCTGCTCGTGTTTCTTCTTCCTTGAGCGTTGCCAAGTGTCTCCGAAACTCCTTGATGACTGTGATCTGTTGACCGTAGACACGTAGCAGAATCATCAATTCTTCGCAAATGTCGCGGGACTCTTGAAGCAGTCTTCCCTCCAAGTTGATTTCAAGGAAGCGCTGCCATCTCTCCGCGATTGCTTCAGTGATACAGTCAGACCCTATGCTGGTCATGTGTCGCCAAAAGTGGTGATAGGATACGCAGGTTTCCTCAGTCTGTTTATATTTTCAGAAAACTTGCGTGGCCCAAATCTCTGCACGGATGCAACTCACCATGTTGCCAATTGCAGACCCAAACAGGTCCAGCATTTCTGGCCTGTTGTCACGCGACTTGGTGCGGTCGAAGAATACCCTAGAGCATTGGTCGACAATGATCAAGGCTAACGAGGTTAGATCGGTACAGTACATTGAATGAGCGTTCTTACCGAGGTGGTGAATGGATTTTATGCCGTCGTTTTTAGCTGCTCTTAGCCGTACCCGGATACTCTTGTAGACTCCTGAGTCGTCAAGCTTGTTCCTACCCCATCTGCGAGGGAATGCCGTGATTATGGTGTCTACTCATCTGTTAGTTTTGTCGAAACCCACCGCAGAGAATGAAGGGCATACTGTCATCCAATATCCATAACCAAAGCTGGTCCACCATGATGATTCTTGTAGTACCATCCAACGCTGTTCTCGTCCCGCGATGAACCACCTGGTCGCAATCACGAGCCCGGGTATCTTCCAGGGTGTGGAAGTAGAACTGATCAAGAGTTCGCCGAACATGGAGCGGAGGGTTGTAATGCACGAACTCTCGCAGCATTCTGATGTCCGGGACGAATCTCTTGACAAACTCCATTTCCATGGCAATCTGAGCCACCGTCCAAAGCAAATTGGCGAGTATAGACGATCTGCTTTTTTCTTTCCTCTTTCTCTTCCTGTGAAGACACGTGATTAGTACTGCAATGGGAGTAGAAATCGTCATACTGACTTTGTTTTTGGCGCTGTATCGTGTCGTCCTTCCCTCGGCTCAGACTCGGAATTGGACTCATCCGAAGACCCGTGAACAATCCAATCGCGCAAGTGTTCTGCGGCGACTTCCGCAAGGCCTTCCCCCCTTTTCCCCTGTATAGAGTGACCTGAGAGGGGTGTTCCCCGAGGACCGCTGCTTTCCCCGAGGTCTTCAAATGAGAACACCCTGGCCCTCCGCCTTTCCGCTCGCTTCCTTTTTTGTTCAAAGTGTCCCAAGTTCTGGAGATTCTTTTCATCGTTCGCGTCGTCTATCTCACGTTGGATGCGTTTCTGCAATGCGTGGTGCTCCCAATGGAGGTACGGTAACTACGCGGAATGAATTAGTGGATGGCTACGGTATTATTCTACAAAATTGGGTTTTACTCGGAGACCGTATACGCCTTGATGGGTTCGTCAGAGGCCCTTACGCAATGCCGTAAGCTGGCCTGTGTCAGCTGCACAGACCCTTATTTTAGTGCCGTTAAGGTCTTACCAAATACAGCCCATGGCGTATTTATCGTGTTAGGAGAGCGCTTGATGGCTTTGCGTAAGGCCTCTGATAAACCCATCGAGGCGTGCACGGTCTCCCAGTAGAAGCCAATTCTGTGGAATAATACGGTCGTTACATGATACGGACATGCGAGGCAGGGAAACTGACGAACAAGGCAACATCCTTTCCAAAGGGCTGTGACTCATCTTCTGACTTCGTTGCTGTGATGACAAGGTCAGTGACGTTTGCTGCGTTGGGTCAAGTGGCCAACAGGCAAACTCACCTGGAGATCGAGGGATTACTGAGCATCTTGGTCTCATGTGTCGGGAGTGCACAGGTCCCTGGCTCTCGCCGTGGACCTGACCACGCCAGAACTCTCGACGGAGCAGCTTCTCGTATCTGTGCATACTCTCCGCGGATCGCTTGTCGTCATGCACCCTCCATGGTTCGTCATAGTACAAAGCCATTGCCTCCTGGGTTCCCACCAATCAGCCTCCTGAATCTCGATTCTCGGGGTAGTCTGGCTCACCTCGATCCAGGCCATATTGTTTGCAGGGAAGTGGAAATATCTCAGAGTATCCTCGTCGCACTGCATCATCAGGGGATTTCCACGCCTCTTCTTCTCGTCTGCTGACAGGAGGTCCTCAATGGGAATGCGCTGGTCTGGAAACTCATGTTTTAGTTTGGTCGAGAGCAGCGAATTGCAGTTGGTGCCGATGAAAGGGCCATCAGGAACCTTTCGCGCGAAGCGCATAATCCCGACTTTGAAGTGTTCATTGAAGCCCGAGCCCTCCCGTTTCGTGGGACCAGCAGCCGAAGACGGCTTGGCGTCGAGACCGCGTCGCAACTGGGGACTCGTTGAGTCAACAGGAGCTGCCGCCGTGATCGGATCGGCCGGCTGGCTCACTTCACCCTCCTTGGCAGGGTCGGGACTCTTCTTCGCCCAAAATGATGCAGGTCCGCCTCTCCATTTCCCACCCTGTTCTGGGAGCCCAGAAGTCCATTTCTCCCGCCATCCCTCGAGGGACAAAAGCAACCTCTGTTTTGGACCATACGTGGCGAAGCGTTCTCGGTCACCATCCAATTCCCCGATCTTGATCCTGAGCGCTTCGGCTCGCGGCGAGCTCTGCTTTTCCAGTTCAACGAGGAAAGAATCCCGTTTATCGCGTCGGATCCGCAAGTAGGCGTTGAGATCTCGGGCATCACCAACGGTAGCATTGCTATAGAGGAAGTCCCACGGTTGGAGGGTGAATGCTCGGCGGCAGAGCTCGCATGGGATGGGTCTTTGGAAAAATGAGCCCAATTCTGCTTCTTCGAGTGCGACCCTGACGTGCGCCCGATCCCTGTGGTGCCGTTCGAGTCTCGCGGGATCGAAGGACTTCGCATCAAAATATCGTTCGTATGCCCTGATCACCGCGTGGACGACGGGAGAGGGCTGAGCACTGGGAGCGGCCATGTTAGCAACTCTGACCTTGTCGTAGACATGGACCCGGATCGTTGCGTCTTGGAGATGCGGAGGGGTTCACCCTACATTGGGGAGCACTCCCTCCTCATTCATCACTGAGGTTCGCAGAGCCGCAGCCTGACCTCTCCCCTCGGCAGCGGACGGCGATCCAGCGCGCTAAGCGTAAGTGAATGCCGTGATTGGAGTTCGCGTTTTCCATGCCCGCTGCAGCCAGAAGCAGACCTGCGCATGTTGGTATTGTAATTGGCCGAGGCATTTGTGGCTGCTTTGAAGGCGCCGATATTCTGCCCAAATCGTCGAGCCCGCCGTCCATTTGTGTGGTTGTGGATGAACTGCATTTCCCGCTCCCCCCTATGGGAGAGTCCCATTTGTTTGTTGCCCGCTCTTTGGGG